ATACCTTGGGTAAGAAAGGAACACCTTGTGCAGCCAAGTGGATTGCTCCAGGGATTTCCCACCCTGGCGATGATGAAAACGCGAAAATTCCAGGTGAGGGCTCACGCGACTTCAAAAGGACGACGACGCCTTGTGTGGGGGGGGAGGAGGGGGTTTGGGAGACCTTTTACCCCCCGAGGGGAAAAAGTCTCCCTGAGGGACTGACTGCATATGACTCGTGCCCAGCAGGAGAGAAAAAAGGGCGGCAAAAGAGGTGTCCCGCGGGGGCCGCCATATGTCGTCTGCGGCATATAGCAGCAGACACCATCTTTAATGCATTTTTTTCTTGGTCTTAGTGGACTATAGTTGTCGTCACCGTTGTTGTTGTTGTTGTACGTTTTTCTATTTTTGTTGTTGCTGTTGTTGCACAGCCTTGTTTCTGTCTGCTGAAGTTATACTGAGTGTTTTTTCTCACCAGCAATAAGTGAGGTGCAGTATCAAAGGATTTATCTTCATATCATCAGAATTACATGTACTTATTAAGTATGCTAGGTCTTGAATTATGTGTTTTAGAAGCATTTTAAGGTATGTATATATTTCCCATTTCCAAAAAATTGCAGTCTGAAATGTGCTAAAAATCATTGATTGTGATACAATGAATATTTTTATAAAGAATTTTTTCTCAGGTCCCCGGGAGTTTGTTGTAACAAGATTTTACAGCAAATATTCTCAAAGTTCCCTGCAGGTATGCTACAGAAACAATGAAAAAATATTTATAATTACTTTTTATGTTCAGTACAGTACATCAAATTCATATAATTAAATAATTTCTCACGATTCTTGTCAAAATTATTGAAATTTTTATTTGCACTCATTTTTAAGTGAACAGTAAGCATAAAGCATCAAAAATAAGTTTGAGATAATTTTTAATCAGAAGATTGACAGATTGAATAAAAACATAGATCTGAAATTGTTTCCAGAAGTAATTAATTTTCAGTTTCATAAATTAATGTTCTGCATTATGGTCACTTCAATTTACTCAAACGTTTTCCCCAGTTATTCAGAATAATTCGGAGACCGAAGGAAAATGTAATAATAATCGACAGAGGGGGCAAACAAACGCTAATATTAAACAGTACATTTCTTGAGTCGATTCATGTAGGAATTTCTGGATTTTGTTTGGCTTTTTATCTTCTGTGGTTTCTATTCACAAAAATCTTAGAGGACCTTATTTTGACGCACGAACAGTTTTTAAAAATGTTATAAACATTTACTGTTTTGCAGGAAATAATCCTGAAAAGAGCAGCGGATATTGCAGAGGCCCTCTACAGTATGCCAACTGCGAGAAATAACCACCAGTTGTCGCTGCCGTCGGCCAGGTCACCAGCTGTCAACAATGCACCTGGACCCATGTCCGGTTTCAACACCTATTCTGTCGCCGTCCCTGATGCCAACGGCCAGTGGACCGACGGTTAGTGTCGCACTTTTTAAATTATTCACATTTTAGTGTAAAACAAAACCCATGGCGTTTATGCTGATGTAAAAATTCTAGAGGAAGATACGAGGGTTACACGTTTCCGCGTGGACTCGTTTCGGCGCGGACTTGAAATGATCTCAACATCAGGGATTTTTAAACACATTTTTCTCATGTTCACTGGTTCCAAAAGACTAGACAGACACCTTCTCAATTTCATCACTAACAATTTTCACACACTTCTCAGTCCTTTTAATCCATGAGTTGAAACAGGCTTTGAAACGTTCAATTGTTGAATTTTGAAGCTTCCCCAGAACAGCAGCATTATAACAAGGTGATCCGCGTGGAACCGTGTAATCACTCGTATATACGCATGGTGTCACGAGATTTTAAACTGAACGTACGGTACTTTAGCTCCACAGAAGAGTGAACTTCTGAAGGAGTTCATCGTTTTGTGTCAGTCATGACTCAATTCAAGAAAACGCGGATCAAAGTTCAAATTTCCGATTAGGTTTCTTTTTTTTTTAAACAATAGAAGATGCGTGGCAAATTTAATATATGCGAGATTTCAATCAATAAATGAGCAGAAAATATTTATATTTGACCATTTTTTCTCTCTGGTTTACATAGAAAATGATGCAATTTCAAGATTTACATGAATGTACACATTGCGTTCACGTCTCGAGCTTTTAAATTTTATTTTGAGCTGTCGATTTGGGATTTTCTTTTTCTATGACTTTTTGTTTTCCATTTGGAAATTTGCAGCATATTATCTTACTCTTCTTTTGAGAGTTCTGATATCTGATGAAAAAAGAACATGAATTTGAATGGATTTATCTATAATTCAACGCTATTTCTTGATAGCATTTCTGCTTTCAAAATTTTTAAAATTTCGTCTTGGGTTACCCGAGCTCCAGTTGTGTCAATTTGCCAAAACAGAAAAACAAATAGGTAAAGAAAGAAAATCATATACTGTACTATGAAGCCACGCAAAAAAGAATCCAATTTCCGATTGCAAAAAAGAATCTTTGAATCTGTCTTGTCAAAAGGTTTCACCGCCCTGCTGAGGCCAAATAGTAAAATTCTCGCTTCAAACGTTAAACCGATGTGTAGAAAGATTCGTTTTGAATTTATTTGTTGTCTCGATTCACTCAAAAACCAGCATTCCCTATACAGTACATGTACACTGAAGAAAGCCGCGATGAAACGTAACGAACAGCTCAACATCACGTAATACCCAGCTTCCTTCCGTCATCTCGGTACCCTCAAGGGAGTCCCCGGAACCCCGCACCCGGTGAACCCCTCAGGAGCAACTTTTGCTCCCCAGTACTGAATGTACTGTTACCACACTATACTGGGAAACACGCGGATCACGAGAAATTGACTGCATATTATTCCCCAGCTACCCACTAGTTTTCAGAGCCGGTCCACTTGGTGTAATTCTCCTGCTTCTTTTATTTCCCAATACAAAATGTAGCTTTTTTTGTGTGGTTCCGATAGACCAAGAAAAAGTGTCCTTGTCAGCAAATTTTTATATCAGATTGTGATTTCTCTTTCTTAATTTTGACTGAACAGAACTACAGTGGATCCCTGCATTTAAGAAAAAAAAAACTAATCGGCTACAGAATTAGCTTCGTTATGCGAAAAATTATTTCGCTTCGGTTTGAGTCTGAAAATATTTAATCCGTTCCAGACACTGATAGAAAATTAGTGATGAACCTTGAAAGCCTCTGTATTTCCCCAAAGAAGCATACAAATGAAATAATCCTGGAAATTGTAAGCTTTGAACTTGATGCGGATTTTTGTGACAGATTTTCTCCTAAAGTTGAAGCCAAGCGAAAAAAAAGCCCGAAATACACAGAAAATTATTACACGAAATTCACCAATTAATTTTTCTGTTCTCGCTGAAGATCTTCCAGTTGATTTTGAAATTTACCTTTTATTTAAAATCTCCCTCCTTGTGGTTACTCAAATTCGTGTGCAACGTTCTAAGTACTGTATAGTTGACATTCTGCGAAATTCCAATAAAATTGATTGATGAATTCCTCGTCTGAAGAAATACCTACGCCAATAATAAGCAGTGGTCAATTTCGGCGGATCGAAATAGGGTTATTGATAATACCGGTGACTCTACAACGATTTTCTCTACATACAACGTTTCACAGAGTTAACGCCAAATGTTTTAGGGGTTCTTTACAACGAAAATCTCTCTACAACAATTTTGGTTCTGGTCCCTTTGATTTTCGGTGAAGAGAGAGAGAGTCCACCTGTATTATATTTCAAGTGTCATGAAACTATGAAGTTCCTGAAAAGAACATGTATTTTTTGTTTCGCGTTGGCATTTTTTTTTCAATTTGCTCGCATTCGTTTTTGCATTCTTTCCTATAATAATGACATTTTTCCGGTTGTTATTAAATTCCAGGCTTTTTCTTCTAGAGGAGTATAGCAGTTCCGGGACGCTCAGGAGCGGCAGCGGCGGCGGCGGGAGCGGCAGTGGCGGCGGCGGGACGACACAACACCAACACCAGCAGCAGCAAAGCAGTTCGGGTTCGTCGCCGGCGTCGGCGACCAACGTCAAGCTGTGCCAGTCGCCGACGACGTCGCCCGGACGCGGCGCCACCTCGACCTACGGCTGCGTCACTTCCGCTGCTTACTCCACAGCCGCCTCTGCTGCCAACCACCACCACCACCACCACCAGCACCACCACCACCAGTTCTCCAACATGACCATGACTGCTGGCCTGTTCAACTCGGCTGCTTCGCGCGACTACCGTGAGTATATAAAGTTGAAAACCTTGCAAAACTCGAGCCTTTCCTCGTCATCATGTGTATAAATATATTTCTATTTGAATGTTTTTTTTGGCCCTGTCTGAATTATTTCAAGATAAATTTTATAACGTACAGTATAATAACATTACATAATTTTGAGTAATTTTCAGTGCTAATGAAAACTGAAACAAACTGATTGCAAAACTAAGTGGTGAAATAGGCATAGTTTACTTTTGAGTGTCCTCAGTAATGAAATAACTTACCAGAGGTTTTCTTCTTTTTTCGCCATACTTATAAAAATTCTACCTATTATGGGAATAGTTCTGGTTTGGCAAGTTTGGGATTAAACTTAATTTGGACTGGAAAAGAATATTTCAGACATGCCACAGTTTGGGAGAAAAGTTTTATTCAAGAGAAAAATGATTAAATCAATAAATGAACCCGGCATTGCTTCTGAATAACAAAGGTTCAATTTCCCCTGAAAAATCTTCGATGCATTTGTTGAAATCTATTACTACTCTGTGCAGAAACTTTATTTTCCTTGGGAAATGTGCATTTGGAAGAATGAAGATCCACTTTATTTACAAAAAATGTTACAATTTCTTCAGAGATACTTGATTCTTGAAAATAGCAGTTTTGTGTGCGTGTATATGCCATTCCGAAAGTGTTATTTCATTTTTTAAAGAAATTTTGACAAGATATATGCATTTGGGGGAGGGGATAACGTAAATTTCTGAAAAACTGGGAGAATTTAATAAAGAAATTTTCGAATTTTTCAAATATTTTTGTCCCCAGGTATGTCGGGCCTGGTTCCATCGCCATTTGCCAGCATGAATCCTTTCGGCATCCCGGGTTGCAACTCGCAAATGTACAGCGGACACCCGATTTCCACAGGCAAGTCGTGATCCCAAAGAAAACTGGAAAAAAAGTGGAAAAACTTGGGAGAAATAAGGAATAATCCGTCGAAGGAATTCGCCCTGAGCTTCGCCCCGGAATGGCAACACTGAATGAGGAGAAGAAAAGAAAAAAAAACGACGATAAACCAAGTGCAATTCCCGATATTTTTGCTCGTTTCTTTATGCCAAAAAAAAGTGTACATTCAGCGCGATTGCTTTGCCTTCGGAAGAAAGAAAAAAAAAGTGTTCCTCGGTCGTCGAAAATCGAAACACGAACCTAATGTGCCATTTTTTGCGTTTTTGACGGCAGTGCTATGATATGCTGATCTCAGTTGATTCATATGTTGAACAGGAAAACCAATCCAAGTCAGGACTTTTGCGGGGAACTCGGAATCTTTATGCGAGGACAAAATCACTCTTCATTTTTTTTTCAAATTATTCACAAACCCTAGTATAGTATCTTCAGCAAGTTTTGATTTATGGATAATTTTTTACTCAAATCACGGCTGGAATTATTAATTTTTCTCTGAAATTTAAAATAATTGTTTGAATTTTGGCAAGGATTTGAGCATATTTATAAAGATTTCTAGATTCCTGCATTAAATCTTCTCGATTTCACCGAATTTTCATTTTTTTGAGTTACTTCCTTGATTGTTGTATTATATCATTCAAAATATCAGTTTGCATTAAATCCGCACGGAATTAGCTTACATTAAATTTGTTGGTCAACCAATATTTCTTATTTGAAAAGTTGAACATTCTGAGCATATGAAAAATTTCGAAATTTGTGAAACGTACAGGGAAGACATTTTTTTCGAAGATTTTTCTCCTCCATGGAAAGACACAACATTTTTGCGAACAATAACGGATTCCTGGTTTAATTGGCAATTCAACCTCTGGGAAAGCATGAAGATAATTTTATAAATTAGTTTGATAGCTAATTTCCCTTTAATTCCGCTTGTGCACCACCTTTTGAGAATAAACATAAGGTAAATTTGAAATTGACGCCGATCTCAGCAATTTTATGAAGTTAATTTGTTTCATGGGAGTTTTTTCCTACAGTCGAGAACTTCTGTCCCCCAAAAACATCGATCAAGTAGAAAATCTGCCAGGATCTTCTCTCAAACTAAAATTTTCCTATGAAAACTACGAAAAAGTGACCGAGTCCTAGCAAAAATTCCAGTTCCCCGAAAGAAAAAAAAAAAGAAAAGCGAAGACTGTTTCGCTTGCGCGGGTTTTCAAGGTTTAATGAGCCAAGAAAACTTGCTCGAATCTGTGATATGGCAAATCCTCGCACGGAGCAAAAAGAAAAAAGAAACGAGGAAGCATTGGCCGAAATATCTAATCAATAATATTATCATTGCGGTACTGAAAAAGGAAAAAAGTGTAAATGCTCTTCTAAAAAGAAGCTTTTCCTCGTCAAAACAGGAAAAGGATTCCCCCCTCCAACGTCTTCTTTTTTTTTTTAACGCAATATTTTTCGACTCTCGTGGAAGATCAGCGAAGAATGTGATGCAATCTCTTATTCTTTCTTACTCTGTCTCGCGCCTGTTGTTTGCTTTAAACGAGGAAACCGATAGAACATATCGAATTCAGCATAATCAGGAGCAAAACGGTTCTTTTTTTTTTCGTTCGAAAGGATCGCCGACCGTGAAGGAAAAACAAATGTATGCGGGAATTTCTGACGATACGTGCGTTTGTCGTTCATGAGAACGGAAAACGGAACAGGAAAATGGATGTTGTCAAAAAGAAAAATACGGTGTCTTCATTTTTTTTACTTACACGATTCAAGTGTATTCCACAGGTGGTGGCAGCACGTTGCTTTTCGCTGCTAAACTTCAGAATACTGTATTGCTCAAGAGAAGATTTTTCAGCAGAAGTTCAACAGTTACAGGATTGAGAACCACATCTTGCTGAACTCACCTCGTCGTGCTGATTTAAAATGCTTGAGGAATTCGCGGCCAATGATTTACGCAAACCAGCATTAGGAAAATAATGGCAATAAACAATATTTAGTCCTCTGGGATGAATCGTAGTTATTCTTTCGGCTTCCATTCGAAGAGGTTGATAAGAGTTGAATCTGTAGTGAATAAACATGTTTTTCCTCTCAAAACGGTTGCTTCCCGACGCTCTTCTCTCGTCAGTCTCGCTGAAATCATGATTGAAGTCGGGAAAATCATTCAGGATGTTGTTTTCGGCCCTGCAGCCAGTACTGCAAAAAATATCAGGAGGTTCAGATTTAGAATCCTCAAATTATGCCTCAGTTCGGGTGGTTTCCATCTGCAAATTCTTACAGCTGCATTACTTTTGTACTGGTTTTTGACATGGAGTCAACAAAAAGAGGAAATCAAGGTGAACGTGAAAACTGCCGAGTTGAAAGCAATGCTGGAGACACCATGTGACCTTTCAACAAATGCCTACTTGAACTGGGACTTTGAAGTCCAAAAGGATCCTCATTTGATTCAGTACATCCGAGATAATTTTTTAATCCACTCGGGTGGTTCTGGAAGGATCCCTAATCCTGACATAATACCTCAGCCAGTGCTCAATGATGAGTTTGAGGACCCATCTGAAGGTTTCATCATCAAAACTACAGTTATTCCTCTATTATTCATGAATGTATGAGAACTTCAATTCACACAATCATTTTGACTCTAACATTATGTGGTTCATGTTACAGTATACAAAACCGGGAAAGTTTTTTGAAGGTGGTGCTCTGGATGGTAAAGTATTTTCCACTACTTATTACTTGGAGAAGAGACTCGGCTGGTCAGGGATCCTTGTAGAGGCAAATCCCAGAAAAGATCCTCTGTTATCTGCGAAGAAGCATTCGAGGTACAATGTGTGGACTGCGCATGCGTGTATATCTCCCCAGCCCACCCCATGCCAGGTTATATTCAGTTTTTCGAACGCTTCAATTTTTAATCACAGTACTTGCATTTTTTGGGTCAAATGGATGCATGTTCCCCGATACCAATCCAATGAAATACCAAATATAACTGGAACAAGTAATTTCTTATGCCACAAAAATGATTTCACAGTGAAGCTTAGTTTTATCTGCAGGTAAATAAACCTAAGCAGGTCACTGAATTATCAACCTAACGTGATAAACAACGTAGCAGAATTATTCATTGAAAAAGTTTATTGAATTTTCCTTCATGTATCATCGCAGTATACAGTAAAATCTCGTTACAACAAAGCCTTCAGGAATCAGAACCAGTAAAATAGTTTTGTGGTACAGTAATGAAAAATACATTTGAAATTATGGCTATTGGACAGGGACCTAAAAAATTACTTCTTTGTAGATTATTATTCTCTTTAAAGTATTCGCTGTAACGGGATTCTACTGTTGTTTGTCGGTCATCATAGTAACATGAACTTTGCACAAATCCCTATTTCTTAAAGCAGGTGATGGTTTAAATAAAATTTACAAAATTACTAGGGAATAAATTGGTTTTGCTCACCGGGTTTCTGTTTCGTGGCAGATTTTCTTCGATGAAGAGGGATGAAAACTAATCGAATCAAGGATGAAGATGCATTAAATTACTCTCTGCTTCCGGTGCTTTGATCCAGGAATATCTCTCGGAAATTCTGCAGAAACCGTCGTCTTCCCAACAATCTCCATGCGCACCACGTTTAAGGTTATTTTTTGCTTTTTGAAAACGTGGTTTTTTAGATTAATTTTTTAATCTACTATAATTATTTTATTCTTTTTAAAAAATATTCTTAAAATTAATTTTTTCACAAAAGATTGCATTGTCATCAGTTTCTAGGCTATCCTGAAAGTTTCAGCTTGATAGCTAGTCGGGAAGTGAGTGAAATTTGAGTTTCAAAATTTGATCCGGACAAACAGACAAGAAAGTGAGTTCATAAAAACATGGTAAAAAAAATAAAAATTCCTCACAAAGTCTTGCTGTTACACATTTTCTGGTATTCTTCTAACGAATTTGAACATTGGATATCCAGGCATCCGTTCAACCAAGAAATAAAATGATTAAACCATGCAAATGCTGCCGTTATAACTTTTACAAACGTTATTACTGACAGGGTAAATTCACAGTTGATGTTCATAAGCTTAAGAATGGAGAGGATACGATGACATCGCACCCAAGCACCTATTGGCATGGATCGATCTGGTCCGAAGAAGACGAAGATGAGGACATCACAGATCCATCTACTGTTGAGATATACGAGGAAAATGTCCCTTGCTTCCCATTATACTCCTTGTTAGCTGCGGCAAATCTGACAAACCTGGACTTCTTCTCCCTTGATGTGCAAGGTGTTGACGTAAGGGTAATCTTCTCTATTCCTTGGGAAGAAGTTGAGTTTCAGGTGAATTGCTATTCATTTTTGCAAAGGACTCAGGATTATTTGACCAGCAGGAAAATTATTTGAAAATAAATGCGTGGCTCATCTGTGAAAGGTGGTGAGGCTGCATGAGACAAATATCAACGTGGATGGGGGACCTTGGTTTCATTTAGCAAACTTCATGCAAAGCATGGGCTACTTCCATCATGAGCAACTCGTCTATTATCCCTCAGGAAGGAGAAATGGACAATATTATTTCTCTCTCCAAGAATGATGTGGTGTAAGATGAGCACAAAATGCATGCTCAATTATTGGAAACTTGCAATCTTTATTTAATCTGAAGGAAACTATTATCCATATTTGTCAGTGCCGAACTAATAAAAGAATGTAGAAAAATGATCAGCTCAGGCAAGGAAAACACCTTTTTTCCTGCAGGTTTTTTGGCTGCAAAAAGTTGAGCCATGCACCAAAGCAACTCTTTGCAGCCAAAAAAACTTGCAGAAAAATGTTTCTATCCTTTGCTAAGCTAGTCATTTTTTTCTCTCATTCTTTTGTCATTCAAGCCATCAACATATTTTGCGATTGATTTGATGAAACTTTCAGAATAATAGGTTTGTCACCACTTACAGAGAAAATTGTTGTGGACAAGAGCTTTGTAGAGAGAGTCCATCTGCATAATTTTCTGGTTAATATTGCACCAGGTTGGATAGGTGTCACTTTTGTCAATTGTATCTCACATGCCCCTCCAACGGTTTTTCTGAAGTGGTAAAAGCTACATGAATGTTAAAAAGCCTACCCCATTTTCACGGTGAGTAAATCTAATGAAAAAAGTGAAACATCGAGCTTTTTGTGGAATTCAGAATCTCATATAATTCCCGAGAATGAAAAATATTCAATAAAAACATGCTAAAAAAAACCTTGGAAAGAATCGGTTTGGTGTGAAAATATGCTGCCAAAGACGTCTTAAAGGCTCTCTATAAGGACCTAGTTTCGTGGCCTTCGTCTCTCATTAAATTACGTAGAAGTAGGAACTAAGCTAATCAAAAGTAGGGAGAAGTAGCTTCTTTTAGACGGTACACGCCCTGTCATACAAAAAGAGTTCCATGGTGAACACACTTCACGATTCAGCAAGGGAATCCAAAAATCATCGTTTGTTTGGATCAGGATGCGGATTACTCGACACGGTTAATATAATGGGTTCGATTTTCAGAAGAGGGAGCCGCATAATTCATCACGGGATAATACAAAGTAAATTTTTAAAAGTCAATGAACAGACACTTCAACCAACCTCAAAGCAGAAGCAGTCCGGACAGTCAGCTTCCTTTTTCACAATCGAATCGGAGCCTGAAAAACACAAAAACTTCGAATGAACGAAGAACTTCAAAATCACGCTCGATTTCCAAAGCTAATCATTGATTATGATCAGGATGCGGATTACTCAACATGGTTAATATACTGGGTTTGATTTTCAGAAGAGGGAGCCGCATAATTCATCACGGGATATAACGAGGTAAAAAAAATAAATGAAAACACACACCAACAAACCTCGAAAGCAGAAATAGTCCAAACCTTACGGTTCCTTTTTCCTTGATCGAATAACAAGGATCAGAAGCAGAAAAACACAAAACCATCTCAGAATTTTTGGAATCACGCTTTAAATTCCAAGGCTAATCATTGATTATTATCAGGATGCGGATTACTCAACACGGTTAATATAATGGGTTCGATTTTCAGAAGAGGGAGCCGCATAATTCATCACGGAATAATACGAAGTAAAAAAAAGCCAACGAATAGACATATAAACGAACCTAGAATTCAGGAACAGTCCAAACCTTCCGGTTCCTTTTTCCTTGATCGAATAACAAGGATCAGAACCTGAAAAACACAAAACCATCTCAGAATTTTTGGAATCACGCTTTAAAGTCCAAGGCTAATCATTGATTATTATCAGGATGCGGATTACTCAACACGGTTAATATAATGGGTTCGATTTTCAGAAGAGGGAGCCGCATAATTCATCATGGAATAATACGAAGTAAAAAAAAGTCAACGAATAGACATATCAACGAACCTGAAATTCAGGAACAGTCCAAACCTTCCGCTTCCTTTTTCCATGATCAAACAACAACGACCGCAGCCTGAGAAAAACAAAACCTTTGAATGATATACAGTATAAAAAAAAACTTCTGGATCTCGCATCCAGAGGTTAACCACTAATTCTCATCAGGGTGCGGATTATTCGACACGGTTAATATACTTTAATGGGTTCGATTTTCCGTAGAGGGAGCCGCATAATTCATCATCAAACATATAAAAACTCAACAAACAGAAGCACAAACTAACCCGATCGAACGAACTGTCAAAACTAGTCCGGAAAGTTCCATGTTCTCGCAGCGCCATCTTCCAGTTCCTGCAAAATGAGGACGATTACCTCTCACTTTGGCATTCTAAAACATGAATGATTAAAGAATGCCTCTTAATTCTTGAAATCATCAGAAAGCGGATTGGTTCCAAACATAGGTTGGCTTAATGGTTCGATACTTTTTTTCAGAAGAGGGAGCCTCATAACTCATCACACAAGGAAATACAGTCCATTACACTGACTGGACAAAACATTTAGCTGACCTTTTTAAACAAAGAATTCGGACGCTTTTCCAGGTTTAATCTCATGCTCTCGATGGACTTTCCGACGTTGCCTAAAAAAAGTATAAAAAAAACG